GTAGAGAGAATAGTGCAACAATGAATGAATGGAAACCCAAAATCTCTGTAAATGTTTATGAAAATTAATAAAATATAATTATAGAAAAAAAATGATCAAGCATAAGGGGACTAGAGAGGGATCAATAAGAGGGTGGCCTGCATAACCTTTTACCTTAGAAGATAGAAAGAAAAAGGAGACCCACTGCCACCAGGAAAGAAGGGCCATGAGCAAAGTGTATCCCTCTAACCCAAGGATTTTCTGCTAGGAATCTTCTAGAATAAGGAGATGATTGTTGCCAAGATACACAGATATCTCCAGAGAACAGATGGCCTAAAGATGCAGAGAAACAAGGATTTCCCCCCTTAACTGGGAGCCAAAGAGAAGAAATGTCTTCCTGTAGAGATTCAGCTGAATGACCTCCTGAACTAAGAAAGAGTAAATGTCTGTGAAAGCCTTTCCCTTTTGGTATTTTCACATTACAAAATAACTAAGACACATATTATCTTTGACATTGATGGATTTGAAATAAATAAGGAACTCAGGTAGAATGTTGTTGTTAGGTGCCATGGAGTCACCTGTAACTCAAAGACTCTATGAATAATATATCCCACGCCGTCCTCATGACCTCTCCCATGTTCAAGCCCATACTAAGTCACTGTGCCTCCCAGCATGACGTCTTTTTCCAAGGATTGGCTCCTTCATACAACATGGCCCAAACACATGACATGAAGTGTCACAATCCCTGCCTCTAAGGAGCAGCCGATTTGAACTTCATTCAAGAATTTTTTCTTTTGGCAGCCCAAGAGAGATTCAACATTCTGCCAACATCAAAGGTCAAAGGCAAAACGTTTTTGATGTACAAAGGGATTTAATCTTTAGAAAATCCCTTTCATTAATTGTATCCCCTCTTGCTTGTGCATTTCTGGTTGTATTTGTCAGCCTCTTTATATCATGGGCTACGCTTTCTAAGCTTAGTCTCATTTTGTCTCTTATGATTTGTATGGTTTGGGGCTTTACTCCCAGGTCTGGATTTGATTTTTGTGTCTGGTGTGAGATGTGGATCCTATTTTCTGCAGGTAGCAGTCCAGTTTTTCCAGCACCATTTGTTGAAGAGGTTGTAATTTAGTTGGTTTTCTTTCCTTCTCTAATATCAGTTAACCATAGATAGATAGGTTCATTTTCTGGGTTCTCAACTCTGTTCCATTGGTCTATGTGCCTGTCACTGAACCAGTAGCATGCTGTTTTGGTTATCACAGTAGTGTAGTAGGTTTTGAGATCAGAGAGTGATACCACTCCATTTTGTTTTTCATTAGTGCTTTGCTTATTTGGGATTTCTCTGCTTTACAAATAAACTTGAAAAATGCCTTTTCAATATCCTAGAAAAATTAAATGCAATTAATTGGTATTACATTACACATTGCTTTTGAAAGGATTGTCCTTTTCATTATATTGAATCTTCCTGTCTATGAGCAGGACATTTTTCCATTTATTTAGGTCTTTTATTGTTTCTCATAGAAGTGTTTTACAGTTTTCTTGTAAAGATCTTTTATGTCTTTAGTTAGATTCATTCCTAAGTGTCTCAATTGGTGGTTGGCTATTGTAAGTGATATTACTTTCTTGGTTTCCTTCTCTGTATTTTCTTTATTACTGCACAGGAATCCCATTTACTTATGGACATTGATCTTGTATCCTGTCATCCTACTAAATTGGTCCACCAGCCCTAAGTTTTATGGTTGAGTCCTTGAGGTTTTCTGTGTACACTATCATATCTACATATCACAACAGTTTAAACACTTCTTTGTTGATCAGCATGCCTTTTATTTTCCTCTCTTATCATAGTGCCCTCCTAAGTGCTTCCAACATAATATTGAATAGGAGTGATGCTAGTAGGCATACGGGTGTGGTCTCTGTTCACAAGAAAAATGCTTTTAGTATTCCTCCATTGAGAATGATAATGTCTCTTGGCTTTGCATATTTACTTTTCACTATGATAAGGAAATTCCCTTCTATTCTTATTTTGCTGAGTATTTTAATTAGGAAGGGTTGTTGGATTTTGCCAAATGCATTTCCTACATCAACTGCTAGGATCATGTGATCTTGTCATTTGTTTTGTTAATGTGGTGATTTGCATTTATTGAATTTTTGTTGTTGACGTTGAACCACCATTTCATACATGTTATGAATCCTACTTGGTCACGATGATTTTTTTTAATGTACTGTTGGATTCTATTGAACAGGATTATGTTAAGAGTTTTTGTATCTGTGTTTATGAGAGCTACTGGTCTTTCATTTCCTTTTTAGGTAATACCTTTGCCTGGTTTTGATATTAAGGTTATGCTTGTTTCATGGAATGACTCTGGGAGTGTTCCTTCATCTATTTTCTATTTTTTGAAATAATTTAAGTAGAATTGGTGATTGATCTCTGAATGTTTGGACCCATCTGGTCCAGGATTGTGTGTGTGTGTGTGTGTGTGTGTGTGTGTGTTTATAACCTGTTCAATTTCTTCTTTAGTGATGGATCTGCTGTTCAAGTGCTTTACATCTGTCCATGCCAATGATGGTAGTGCATGAGTTTCAAGGAATTTGTCCATTTCTTCTAGATTTTCAAGTTTATCAGAGTATAGCTTTTTATAATATTCTGATATTATCATTTTCATTTCCTCTCATTCTGTTGTGATGTCACCTTTATCATACCTTAAACAAGTTTTTTGTGTCTTCCCTTTTTTTTGTTTGTTTTTCTTTTGTTAAGTTTGCCTATGTTTATCAATTACACTGGTCCTTTCAAAAAAAAACAGCTCCTGATTTCAATATTTTTTGTGTTTTCTATCTTATTGATTTCAAGTCTTGTTCTTACAATTTCCTTTCCTCTAGAGTTTCTGGGTTATATTGTTATTCTTTTTCTATTTAATGAAGGCGCTGAATTAGGTCATTACTGTTGCTTCTTTCTTCCTTTTTTCTGTGTGTGCCTATTGCTATGAACTGTCCCCTGGACTGCCTTAGCTGCA